ACCCCCACGGCCACTTTGGATACCGGAGCCCCAGCGGGTACCTCCACATGGCGGCGGTGCCGCCCCAGCGTCCGCCGCAGACGGCGGCCCTTCTGGCCCTCCCCTCCAGCTCCGGCGGCGGAGGCGGCGGCCAGACAGAGGAAATGGAGGACTACTACTACTCTAACGACAACAACAATTGTAATAACAACCCGTTGATTAGCAGCTCCGGCAAGAAAAGATTCAGAACAAAATTCACCCAAGAACAAAAGGACAAAATGTTGAGTTTTGCAGAGCATTTGGGGTGGAGAATTCAGAAGCAAGACGAAGAGATTGTGCAGCAGTTTTGCAATGAGGTGGGCATCAAAAGGCACGTGCTCAAAGTCTGGATGCACAACAACAAGCACACTCTTGGTAAGAAAACCTAGACGACGACGACAACAACAACAACAACGATAAAAATTGAATCTTTGAGTGAGTGAGGGGGTTTAATTATTAGGGCAATTTATGTTGTTTTTTGTTGTTGGTTAAGGCTAAGTATGTATGAGCTTAGATCTAGAAAGAATTAGCAGATGGGCTAGGTTTTTTCAGATATCTGTTCAATAATTTCCTCGGATGTTCAATTAATTTGTTATTATTAATGTTGTTATGGCTGCCATTTTAATTCCAAAAATTAGGGTTTTCAATTCCTCCATTTTTATTTTTTATTTTTATTTTCTGTCCCTAAATGTTTTTGATGGGTGGGTTTTTTTACCTTTTTAAGTGTTTTGCTTGCATGTGGCAGCTGATGATGAACAAAAAGACTGAATCTTGGTTGCAAAAATGGTGTTTTTAGTGATACTTAAAACATGTTGTGGCTGCTAATTAAAATGTGGCCCTATAATTTCTGGGAAATGCTACGGTCCCGTTACGGACCATTCCGTCGGGTTTTGTAACCATTAGATCATCATGTAATCATCGGGGATAGTTAATCTAACGGTTACAAAATCAGACAAAATGGTCCCGTAACTGGCTCCCTTTCTTTCATTCTTTTCTTCCTACAATTGAGTTCCACTTTTTTTTCAACCATCTTTTAGTTCATTGCATTCAAAAAAAAAAAAATGAACAAATTCGAATTCCAAGTGCTTTATGGATTCAAGAGTTTTTTTTTTTTTTTTGTGGAAGGTATTGAGCTAAAGGGATAAACTTTTCATGGATAGGGTTCCTTTCCTCTCTTCTTTTTTCCCCCTTCTCATATGCCAACATTAATATTATTATTATATCAGTATTTTCATGTTTAGAATTTACTTTTAGTCAGATTTAACGGTTAGAGAATTAATTTTTCTTAAATATTATGTATTTTCAAACTGAAATGTCATGGTATAAATAATAACATATATAAAACTATCGCATTCCATGTCATAAGTACGCGTTTTTACTGAAAAAGTATGACGGGTCGTCTCGTCTAATAATTAGGCCACAGTTCGTAATCTCATACGAGTCACACTCCATCTCTTGAATATGGGTACTATTAGTGCATCCTAGATTTTGATTTAGCTCATGAATATGAAAGTATTACTAGAATTTAGGAATTTAAATTATAACTATGGTTTCTTTATAAGTTATAATTGTCAACAAAAAAATCTATTTCAATTTGTACGTGTATGATTAATTCTAACCCCAACAATAATCTTGGCATAATTATACATTGAAATCCCTACTGAATAATGAAGCACTTTGAGCATATATATGTCACAAAATTTATAATGTATTTGTGCATGATTGATACACTGAAGGAACCAGTAAATGCAGGCTGATGATCATATATAGAAGGGTGTGCACATTGGGAAGCAAAAAAACACTTAACAGAAGTAGATTAATTTTACATTTTTTTTTCCCATTTTATTATAATTGTTACTATTACTTAATTTAAATAATTAAAATTAAATAAACCACAAGTTGAGTTATTGCTAGCAGAAATTTGAAGCACAAATGAGAAAATTAAAATTAAAAAAAAAAATCAATTAATAGCTTAATTTTGTTGAATTTAAAAAAAAAAAAGGTGTATGTATTTGTGTGA